CCTAACAGGCCACACATACACACACTCATCATTTTCTCCCATCACCAACATCGGCGACCATTGGCTACCTCTCGACCTCTACCAAGCCACGCACGCACACCATTTTCATTCACGTTCGTCACCAACATCGGCGACCATCGTCTACTTACCGACCCCTATCAGGCCACACACACACACTCTGATCATTCTACCCCGTCACCAACATCGGCTTTCGCTCACTTCATCTCCCTATCTCTCTCTCGGACTTCATCCTCACTGCCACTACCTCTTTCTCTCTCCTCCCCCGCGTGACTCACACAATCCAGTTCCCTCTCACACAACTCCCTACATCACACATCTTGCTCTCTCTCAGCCTCCACTCACTCTACACCTCTACTTTTCTCTCGGCCTCCACTCACTCCACCAACTCTTCTCTCACTCCCGACCCCTCCACCCTTACCTCACTCTCGGACACCACACACCCTGCCAACCTGTTTCTCTCTCTCGGCACTCTCAGACTCCACACACATCGCCAACCTCCTTCTATCTCTCCCAGCACTCTCGAACTCCACACACACCGCCAACCTCCTTCTCTCTCCCGGCACTCTCGAACTCCATGCACCACCAACCTCTTTCTCTCTCTTGGCACTCTCGGACTCCACACACTGACAACCTCTTTCTCTCTCTCCCCCCGTGGTTCTACGCGACCAACTTCCTTTCACACACCTTATCGCACACACTCATCCTACACGGCCTCTTCCGTACACTGCCACCTCCGTACACAGCTCCAGATTTCGCATCCACATTTTCAATCTCAAATCAACACATGTATTTGAAATATATCACCGTACCTCCCATTTCCATCTTCCTTTTGCCTGCCAATCGCGCTATCACCGTCCACGGCCTCCTCTTCTCTTCACTCCGCTTCCCTTCTTTCTCCTTCTGGAACCTTCCTTCTTCTCCTCTTTCTCTTTCCCGCTCCCTTCTTCCTCTGTTCTTTCTCCCTTTTTTTTTTCTTTTTCTTTCCTTCCTTTTTCCTTCCCCCCCCCCCTATTTATATACCACCAGTTTCCTCAAAACGGCGTTGTTTTCCCCCTTGTATAACGACATCGTTTTTTCCTTTTCAAAACGATGTCGTTTTCTCTCCTCTGCAAAACGACATCGTTTTTTCCTCTTTAAAACGGCACCGTTTTCCTCCCCCACCCCCCCCTTTTTTTTTCAGTTATTACAGTAATAAACATACATTATTTGTGGGGTGATTTATTTGTTTGATTATATAATTAATTTTGGTTTAGATAATTAATTATTGCTGATTCCTTAATCTTTTTGTCTAGAAAAAATGATTATTCAATTAATTAAATTTTATTTTCATTGGAAAACTTTTTTTTCTTCTTTTACTTTTTATAATTAAATATAAATTTACTCATCTTATTCCACCCAATCCTACAATAGAAATGTGGGATCGTGTATATCATTATATTTTACAATTAATTGATTAATTAATTAATTACGGTTAATTGATTAATTATCATTATTAAAGATAAAGCACCATTTCCCAAAACTTCATTTTCTTAGGGTGGAGCGTCAGTTCAAAATCACTAGCAATTTCCTTTTCTTAGGTGCTCATGACGTGGCAGTTCCGATAATTAAAGAATAATTACTTAATTACGGGAATTAAATAATTGAGACGGCCAAGACTTCGTTTCCGTTTCCGTTTCCCCTTCTCATTTTAAACGGAAAAATAAATTGTTTGATTTAAAATTAAACGGATTGTTGACTTCCGTTTTCTCAAAGTATTTTGCCAGATTTTATTGAATTCAAATAAAATATACTATTCTTAAATAGCGGCAAGTCGCAACTAAAATCGTCGAAAAATTAATTGGAAAAGTAAATATCCCGTGCCTGCCGGCTCAGGTCGGTCATTGACTCTAAAAGCGGCGTCGTTTTATGCGGATGCGAGGTCTCGCTCTCGCCAGTTGACAGTCTCTCTTGTCTAAAATTTCTCCCTCTATAAAAAACCAAAAATCGTCTATTGTGGTCTGCTCATTTCCACTGAAGAGGCGACTGGAGAGTGGCGCGTCACTGGTGATTTCTCGGTCCCTTTCGCTTTCTGTTCCCTGGTATTTGCTTTCTCAATCTGTTTAGATGTAGGCGTTCTCACGCATTAATGTGTGTGTATAATGTGTATCTTTCTATGTTTTGGTTTTCTGAATCTTAAACTTCCTGTAATAATGGTGGACCAAATCATGATATTGAGGCTTAATTGGGAGAGATCTGTTGCAAGACATGTGCTGACGCTGCAGAGATCGTGTTTCTACGAATTTTCATTTCGCATTCTTGATTTCTTTTTGGTTTTGTGCTTTACTCTTGGAATTTAGATCCTTGTTTTGTTTTGAATCCGGATCATTCACTGCTTAAATTAGTGGCGTTGCTTTTCACATCTACTATATTATTGATTGGCATTTTTCTAATTGTTCCTGGCAAATACTC